ATTCACAGGTGACCGGTCGACTGGACGTGCCAAGGGTCGTTTTAATTCAATTTAGATAATATCTTGCCAGAAGGCCAAAAGTAGATTATTTCTCAGGCACAGCTCCGACATAATCGCATTTTCATTTTTTTGCTTCCTTTTTCAAATAAGTTGGCCCGGTGCTGGCTCGGGATTCGGGATAGATTTCCTAACCTGTAAGTGAAAAACGCACACTGCTTGAAGTTTTTATCTAATTACCATAATAGAAAATTAATAAATGTAGCGTTTTGTAAATAAGTTAGATTAAACTACTTAAATTAATTTATTATTTTCTTAAATTTACTGAGGATGATCCAAAGACTAACCGAAAACAAGGAATTTGTTAAGAAGGTGGCTAAAGAAGTTTAAATTGTAGCCGCCTTTTGGTTTATATTTTAATTTAATTAACTTGCGAAATCACTCAGAATTTTATATTATTTTGTATTTTATATGTCTTGTCACTTATTTATTATAAAAATTTAAAATTTTTTGTTTTCGCTGCCAGGAAGAATAATAATACACAGTTCATTTTAAAATAAAGCCTGCATATGTACTGATAAAAAAAATACAAAATATGGAAACTTTTCTATTATAATAACTCTAAAATATCCTCAATTAGCGAGCATCAATTCTGGGATAACTCATTTAACTCTTTAAATTTTTTAAAGGTGGAAACTCACCTCAGAATAATTTTATCTCTTGGCAATGATCTTGAAATTACGAGTGCCACGCGAGACTATTTTCACCTTTGCTGGTTAATGTTCCTCCTTGAAAACGCACACGCCTCTCGCGAACTACGTATACGCTTAATTACTTTTCAGCTAAAGTCATGACCAATACGAGGAAAACTCCAAACACAGGATGCGCCAAAATAGTAAATAATTGCGGCGCATGCACGCGGTGCGTCTCTCTAATTCCATTGTGCTCAGCACACGTCAGGCCAGCGATTTTCCCACCCTAGACAAAGGGAGGAATTTCAATGTGGGAGTTTTGATGAGATAAGATATATTGTTAACGCAAGGTGCTGAATAAAAGCACTTCTTGTTTTGTGTCGCATTCGCGCGGTGAATCACTCTCCAATTTTCTGCTGCTTTTTGTACATACAATTCGCCTCTATAGCTTTTCTTTTATCATGGAAAGTAGCCGGCGATGATTCAGCTTCCTATGTAGGGCTCAAAGCCGGCGACCAGACGCTCTCTCACGCGTCAATTTTAATTATTGGTCTTTAGGGTGGTAGTGGCCGAAAGGGTTGCGGGTGTTGGGCAAGCGAGATGCATTCCTCTCGATAATCTGTCGTGTAATTGGAAATGATGGATGGTCGGTCGTTCAAAACGATTGCTGCTGGGAATAAGCGCGTCAAATGGGAGGGTTTTTCATCAGGGGTTAGAAATGGCACGCAGTGACCACTTAAAAGTCTTTCCTTTGAGTTGGGCCGCCGTTTTGAGAAATTCGAGAACAATTCCAGGAATGCTTTTTTTATATAATAGAGATGATTCAAAAGTCTGCGGATGAAACTCAAATAATAGCTCGCATACGCATCAGAAATAGAGCCTGATTTCAATTGTTTTTGTTCGGCGCTGAGAAAAAAATTATTATTGTTTATAATTTATAAAACAGAGTGTGACAAAAGAGTGATATTTTTTAATGAATGCAGAATTGAATCTTAGATTAATAATACATGTATATTTTTTTTTAATTAATTTTTATACAAATTAATGGCTGTATTAAGTATCTATTTTTTTTCATACAATTTTTGTTTATCTATATAAAAATATAATATTGCATTTTAATTTTTAATGCATTTTTTATCTTCTAATATTAGATGCAAACTATTTAATATTTAGTTGCATTGCATTTTGGCTTGTATAAAAATTTTACTGGCTTTCAAATTTAATATACATATACAACAAAACTGTTAATTTTCTTCAAAATCCGAAAAAAATTTTGTTAATAGAGTGTGTAGGGCCTATGTTATTGCTGCAAATATTTTATGAAAATTGAAGCCTTTGTCCAATTTTATACATAATACACCAAAAACCAAAATCTACTCCGTGATATTTAAATTAAAATAAAATTGCATGTCCGTATTTAGGCCTATACAATTAAATTGCATTAATTTGAAGAAAAAGACAAGAGGGAAAAATGTGCGATAAAATGAGTCTATTGTATTTTTATTTGTACACATTTCTGCACCATTGGAAATTACAAACAAGAACTACAAATCCCTCTGAAACACATAAATAATAGTGCTTTAATATAAAATCCACAAGGCAACCGATCCTCTTTCTTATTCAGCACTATTTCACACACGCGGGGCCAAATAATACTTCTGCTGATTAAAAGCAAGCCGCCCCAACTGCGGCTCTGTTGTGTCTGCGTCGGCCATAAAATACACGGATTTGACACCTTTTGGCTCTACTCTTAGAAGTACCCCGCGCTGAAGGCTGCGCTGAAAGTACGATTAATTACACTGGCAGGGATCGCGCGCCATCCTCATTTCACCAGTTTAGGCTATCATTGTATACATCGATGATAGACATTTATTTGGGGCGCTCTGTAATTACATTTGGGAAGGCACAATCAGTCCCATTATCACCTGGAAAATCACCGTTACGATAATGGCTGGGTGTGAACACAACGGCAGCTACCCTTTCCAGACTAACAACCCCTTTATATCAAAAGGGCGAGAAAATTCATCGGTCTCATTATTTCTTCAAAAAGCTTGCAAGTTGGAGAAGAGGAGCTTTTTATTTAGTTCGATGGTATTGTTGATATGTTTTGTATAGCGTCGAATTTCCAAATTAATTTAGTGTCAAATTTAATACCCAATTCTTGTGAAAAACGATTAATCATCTATCTCATTGTGCTAATAAGAGGTATATATTGAATTTAAAATTAATTATGTTTTCATTTTTACTTATTATAGTTGTACTGCTAAAATGTTCATAAATAAAACAAGATCATGAGTAATTGTTGAAAAAGCTTTTATGAAGCTTGGCTAATGAGATGTTTTGCATAATTTAAGTATTTTAAACGTTGGTAGCCGGCGGCAGAAAATTTCAATATAACATTATTTGCCCAAGGAAGAAGCCACCAGTCATTAATAATCACAAAGTGGACGACAAGAACCCACTCCGCAGATAGAAAGATGCATCCCAATTAGGAGAAAAAACAAATTAGGGCTCCGCCTATAACTTTTGGCGAGGCTGCCAAAGATAGCTAGTTAATTACTCATCTTGATAGATTAATTATCAATTCCGACTTTGGAATTTGTTATTCAAATTAGGCTGATCACTTCTAATTAACGACGATGATAAAGTGGAGGACGAGGATATTTTTGAATAGCTTAAATTCTCAAATAACAAAAATTGTATAAAAAGTTGATCTGGTTTTGCGTCTCTCAACCATTTATGAAAAAAGCATTTCATTGCCAATTCTCAGATGAAAGAGTCGCCGCACACGAAGGGTCCTTTGGGAAAAAGAGAGGCTAATGAGAATGTGCTTAGAGCGGCACAATGGAGCTTCAATCGGGTTGCCGACTCGCAATTTCATGCGTGTTTCTGCATAATGGCGAAATTGAAAAGATCAATCTCAGCTTCTTTATAGTTTACACAACACACATACTCCACATCTTCCTAGTTTGCAGTGTAAAATTGTTCATATTGTTGCTGTTTGAAACTAACAAAAAATCATTAATCATAGGCCAAAAGCCATAATATACTATATTTTTTCGGGTAAACTTTTTTCTGTTTCCTTGTGCATCCAGCATAAGAGAATTCAGAGGTGAAGAAAAAAATCCAGTTGATCACCTGCTCTCTCGATGTATGCTGGCTCTGCTGTTTTTTCAATCTGTAATTTTCGAATGTTTGATTTGTTTCAAATTTCATTGATGGAGCATGGAGGGCTGTTCTGAGTTCACTAACCTGCGACTGCTAAAAAGCCATGCCGAACAAAATAAATTTATGGCAGATGCGGCGGCGGCGTGTTTTATATTTGTCTTAAGCGCGCGCCGCTCATAATGTAATCACACCTTGCAATTATCAGCTGCCTCTCTGCATCTGCCTCTTACGCTCTCTCTCTCGTCTCGCAAAAAAAACTCCTTAAGAGCTCAAAATCTCCATCAACAAGATTTTTTTTCGTATTTTTTATAATACGTTGATGGTCCCCTTAGATGCATTTTATATAGAAAGAGCTGTCAATTGCGGTGCGTTTAGTGGAAATACACCTCCTGGAAAGGTGATGATTGATTCGTTTCTCATAAAGTGTTCACACTCGAGTGCTTCTTCATTAGTCGTTTGTGCCAAAAACGGGAGAGCTGCATCTTAATATTCCATTTCCAATAGTATCATATTCGCGTGTGTGCTCTCTAAAGAATCAGTCGCATCATCCTGCGCATTATAGTCGACACGAGAGATGTTGGCACCGAAAAAAACCAGCAAGTCATGCACTTCCGATTTGTTGTTCGCTCGGCCAGTAGAAGAAATGAAGATTTTATTTTTTAAATATTTGAACGCCCAGAGAGTTTGATATTTTCTAAATTACAAGGAATGAAGAAGCGCCGGAGTTTAAATAATTATATTCAAAACGGTGCTTTTTGTCTGATTTGAGTTGGTAATTTTGAAAAAGTGGGACGAATTTGACGTGTAACATTTCGCTTTGACTAATGGGCAGAAACAATGACTGGCCATTTCGGGATAACCAGGGTCGCGTTTTTCCCTCGTGTGAAAAGCGATTCACAAAATGTTAGAGGAGCAACAACAGGAAGTTGATTTGAGATAAAATAAGTATTGACTGTTGATTGAGAGAAGATGAATCCATTTATTTTGGAAACTTACTTAAATTTTGTTAAATTTAAATTTCTACCATATTTTCTAATTTACTATGAAAAAGAAATTTAATTTAGATTATTGAAGAAGTTGTTTTTAATTTCTTACATAAATGCTACAAGCCACATTATTTGCATCAAATTGTGCGTTAGAAATTTTAGAATTCTCCTAATTTTTTTTTTTCAAATTTTTATTCCAATTGTAAAAAAAATTAAATGTTAAAATTGTTATCAAAATTTTAGACACCTAAATTTTTCTCTGGCAGACGTATCCAATCACTCTTCCACATTCGACGTTCATGTGTTCGAAAGTGGCCGGTGTGGACTGATTAGCATTTGAGGGTATAAATTCCACTGCAAGACATTCGCGGCTGGTGGACTCTTTGAAAAACGGGAAGCCCTCTTTCCAGTTCAGCTGTGACGCATCAAACATATCGTCAGTGTAACAGTTTTTGAAGTTTCTGCAGCCGCCAAACGAGCCTCCGTTTATCCAAAAATAACGATTCTTCCTTATTAAATTCAAGCCTTCAAAAAATTATGTTTAATTGAAATAATTTAAATATTTTGTGTCATACTTTCAAAATGTTTCAAAATGCATTTTCTGTCTGCAATGGCATCCAAGGCTGACAATTGCGCACCCCAAGCACAGCAAAATTTCATCGAAAACGGCATATCCAACTTGATAAATAATTAATTTTTTAATTTGAAATAATTGACCAAGATATTGATTGTATTGTTTATACAATGCTAATTTCTCCAGAAATAGGCGCAAGGATGGCACTGACAAGATAAGAGAACTTGGTGCAGTTTACCCAAGGCAATTTTTGGAGAACAGGGGCTGTTTTAAATTTTTAAATTAATTAGAATGGTGGAAACTTTATCAAACATTAATTTGAGACTTTATATAAAATTCTTACTTTCCTTTAATAGCTGCTTCTGGAAGTGAATTTCTGAATGAGTTTTTTTTCTTCTTTTGACAAATTAAAGCAAAAAAACGCACTTGCGCCTCGCAATTCTTGCTATTATCTTTTGGACATTCCGGCTCAACGCACGGTGCCTTTGTCGTCCTAAGCTTGTACAAACTGCTTTGCTTCTAATTACTCCGAATTATTCTTAATTTTTCCCAGCAATTACTTTTAATGGGGTACCTCGCAAATGAATTCCCTTTTGTCGGTGCAGTCCAGATCTAGGTACGCCTCGCTGTCCCCAGAAAACGACACTGCCAGACATTCCCGCCGGTTAATTGCGTTTCCAGGCCTGCGCCAAATAATCGCCTTGTAGGGGACCAACTCGTGGGTGCCGCACCACATGAACTGGCCGGGGCACGATTTTGAAATTCCTGATGACCAAAACAGGCTCTTCTGCAGGCTTTCGTCTAGACAAAATTATAAATAGTTGCAGACCAATTTGTGTCACCCAAAACAGAAATATATTAAATCCTTGAAAAACCTAATTTTTCGCAATGTTAACTCGCCTATAATGACAGATTTCAGGCAGTTGTATTCTTCCTTGCTCTCCGCGCTGAAAAGCGTCAAGTTTCTCTCGCAGCAAAATCTGTTGGCGTCCTCAAATGATGCTGGTTGCTTTTATTGATAATTAAATAAAGTTATAAAAATAATAGTCAAGGTGTTCTTACGGAAGAAATGAAATAGTCGACGTTGCAAATTTTCCTCGTTTGGATCGATCCTGGAGCTGTATAATTAAAAAAAAAAGATTTATCCCCCAGTGAAATTTTAAAATTCGATTAAATCACAATAATTGTCCAAGTTTTGCTATTAAATTTAAAGTTTTGGTAACTTTTTTATTTTATTAAAAATAATCATGTTACGGGACATTCCGGACATTTTGGTATGCAGAATTTGGAGCTTTCTCCTTGCTTTTCCTGTTGGACCAGATCTTCAAAAGGTTTAAATTTAATAAATCTAATAATTACCCTACAAATGCTGTCGTTTTGGCACATTTCGCAGTTCACTTCCAAACACATTTTTGGCATTCTGCACACGAAATTTGCGCTCTCTGTGCAATTCATTTGTTGCACGCTCAATTTTGCGCATCTCCAACTTTGGCTTAATGTATTCCAAGCATAATAGTTAACGCATGAAACTTACTCGGAATAAACGCTGCAGACCTCAATAAAACTTTGATTGGCTTTCGTAAAATATTCGTCCATAGACCAAACGTTAAAATCATCGGGCCAGAAATCTTAACAGATTTTAAAAATTAGAACATACATATATCAGCAGCTAGGAAATTTTTTACTTTCAACTCTTTCATACAGAAACAAGTGGAAAGCGCCTCTGAAGGTTTCGTTCTTCATACTTGCCAATTCCATGCCATGAAATGAACAAAATTTAATCGCTTCAAAGTACGCCAGCTCCAGCTAAATAAATATACATGATACAAGGATAGAAAATATTTTGAAGTTTCCAAATCAACCCCAGAAGTGAAGTAAATTAATGACCCGTCCTCCAAAAGCCGTAATGGCAACTCTGTTGCTAAAAAAGTTTAATTTATTTTTATTGATTATATACTATTTTTTATTTTCCTACCTTTCTTTTTGCAATTTGGTTTCATTTTTTGACTCTGAAATAAACATTACATTTTGGAAAGCGCCTTAAACTATCATAATTTATATTTTTGGTTACTTTCGCGCTGCAGTTTCCAGGGACAACATTATTCGGAGCGAAAGTGCGAGTGAAGAAAAAAGGTGTCTTCACTATATTTCCAAATCCACCCCTGAAACATTTCAGCATGCAGCTGTACGAAGCATCTTCATTCCTCATCTTAGTGTCGAACTCTTGAAAACCAAAATTGTGAAATTTAAATGGGGTGAAATTTAACCCTGAAGAAAACTTACCCTGGAATTCCCACTCCCTTCCCATTACCTGATCCAAAACGCACTGCCCGGGAGGATCGGCGGCGGACGCGAGCAGGATGCACTTGAGACAAAAAAAGTGAAAGCTGCGGTTCTTTGCAAGCAAACAAACAAACCAACCACTGCGAATAATACAGCTAAAGTTCCACCACGTATTACCATCACAAAGGGTGACTCTGATAGATGCGTCTGATTGATAGGCGTGTATTCTATTTTATGTTCAGGGCGAAAATCATCAAAAGTGCATTGAATAGAAATCGAAATGCGTGCCCTGCCACTTTTTTGATTGATGGACATTAAATTGCGGTGTATTCGTCAGATGGATGAGAAAATTCGGACACAAACACACGTTGCAGCCGAGCAGGAAATTTTATTATTTACCTAAAAATATAATCTGTAATAATCACCAGAATTTGTCGTGGTCATAAATAATGTTACTTGTCAAGTGTAAACTACATAATTTCAGAACATAACATAAATAAAATTTGTATAATTTAAATAAAATTAAATGGTCCCTGATAAACAAAAACAGGGAGAGGAAGTTTTGATCATCAAAGATAATTCTTGTCACCAAATTTATGTTGCAAATTTTTCTCAGCAATTTTTTGATTCATTTAAAAATTAAAATCATAAACACTAATTTATTTTTCCTTCAATATCCGCAGATTAGAATGTGCCTGGCTCATAATTTCCTATACTTATATACAAAACCACTAATATGAATGTGTGCAATGCAATTCGTTTTGCAATTGTGCAAATAAACATGCAATTTGAAATTTCACGTTGGCCAAGGTAAGTATGAAAATTGCGATAGCCTTGACGTGCTACGTACGTTCACCTGCACATTCATATTATCCCTATCAAATAACTCACACGTAATTGTGCAGCGATTATTTTTATGAATTTCCGCCGCCTTGCTGGACGTGCTGGACATTTCAAAGGAATTACAAACTGACCACCCCAACTGCAAAAAGAAGCCGCCTAGGTCGTCGCAACCTTGCTGATTAAGAAGGGCCGATAAGTTTTCTCATAATTATTCGCCGCGGCGTCACGTCCCCTGCTCAAAGCAGGAAAAATGCGACTCGGTCACGCAGTATTTATTTCCTTTAACTCGCGAAACAAAGCTCTAAAATATTTAATTCCTAAAACGGAAACAGATAATAAAATGACAAATTCATATCGTTGAGCAATTTTCTTATCGAAATATTAAAAAAAAAATCAGACGCAAAATCTGGAGGGTTTTGGGGAGGGTGGGGGTTAATTTATTACAGGCCAGGTGTGCGTCCAGGTGGGACCACTCACCCTCCGTGACAGGCGGAGGTGGACGTTGGCCGAGTGACGAGGGAACGGGGGAGGTGAATGTAGGCAATACCGCTTTCTCGGCTGTAGTGAGCGTTGCATACCTTGCAGGCAGGCAAGTCTCCTACCAAGAACACGCTATGTGAGGAAAGGGAGACACAGAAGGATGAGGCTTACAAATTGGGTTTGACAGTGTGAATAGGAAATTAAAAAAAAAAAATCAAAATTGGAAGAAAAAAAATTAAAATCATTTCAGAATTGGTTTAGTCATAATAATCAATAATTCATAACATATCATCAAAAATATTTTTAAGCATAATGTGAGGGTTTTTAAAATAATGATAGTAATATTAATATATTAAAGGGGAATATGTTGATAGATTTTTGAAAGATGATGTGGTCAAAATCTATATAAAAATGTCATAATTAAAAAAAATCAATTGATTTACTATTAACTATGGAATAATTAGAATATAAGTTATTTCCAGGAAAATTTATAACTAAATATAAATAGATCATTAAGCAAAGGTCAATGAAAGTGGGAGCAAAAATATTAAAAATAATTATAAACGTAAAAAAATTATAAAATTAAGGAAATACGAAGAACTAAAATTAAATAACGTAATTTACAAATCAATTCTTCGATGTATTACAGTCTACTTAATATTTTATTATAAATATGATAATAAAGTTGCTACATTTTAATTTGAAGATCCATATTAAGTTTATTTTTGCAATCTCAATATCAAATATTGTTGAGGGGCTTCAAGCAGCGAAATTAATTTTGGGAGTGGAGCAAATATCAAACCAGGAGCTCAAGTCGCCAGCAGCGAAAGATTAATTAGGCTCAGAGGATGCACTAAAGTGCTTCACTAATTATTATCGCGGGGTCATGTGGTTCGTCAGGCAGAGTGACACCCTGCCGAGTAGCCGGCAGCTGAATCGCACGCAGCCTTGGGTTTTGTTTTTTTCCTGCTCGGGATACTGCTGATGGACAGACAAGCAGTTTCTGGTTCGATGTTAGTGAATCTGCAGTAGCGTTGGACCACTAGCAGGGGCTTCCTCAAATGTCTTATAACAACATTTAGTCTCTGTTTCAAATATTTCTAGGGATGCAACTAATTTAATTGAAATCTTTTTTTAATTATAAAAAAATCAGAAAAATAATAATTCAAAATTTTTTAGAAACTTTCAAGGGAGAAATTTTCCGTTCAAATAACATTCTAATTTTAAATTGTAAATGTCTCGTTTTTTAATTAAAGCAAAATTTACAAAGAGGAAAATGTTTTTAGCTGTGTGAAAATGAGCAACCTGATTTCTCCACTTATCATTTTGCGTGTTTTCAGTTGCTCGCTTTTATCTCTTTCAGACAGGAAGTCGACATGAATGTCATGAAACAGCAGCTCGGCCTTTTCCTTTCCCAACAAATTGCTCTTGAAAAAAATGTGTATAAAAATAAAAGCAGCAGTTGAATGTTGCGCTGGACAATATAAAATATCAGAGCACGTCAGCAGCCTGATACTAAAATAAATATAAATACCCAGAAAAATGTGCGGCAATAATTTCAGGCCAATTTGAAAAGGACACACAAACAACACAAAACAGAGACATATGTGCTCTTCTGTCAACAAAATATTTTCACTCTTGAGAAGAGGCCGCTCCTTTCATTGAATGGGAGAAAAACGGGCAGCATTTGGTCAACGCCGCTGCTCCTTTTTTGTTTAAAATGCCGCGCTCGCCATAAATTGGCTGCCGGCGGCGGCTTTAAATTATTTCCGATTGTTTGCTGACCATTCACCAGCAGGTCCAGCTTTTGGCTGCAATGACTTTTATTTCCCCGGCCACTCTTTGGAAAATCAGCACGTGAATTATGTATGTTATTGAGCCAGGGCATTGAAATTTTGAAAGCACGTACTACAGCGCTTTTGGCTTTGGTTTGCTGCTCATAATGCACGTGCTCAAGAACAATCAGCGGCTGGGGGTTTGGACAAGCAGTGCTCAATACGCGCTCAATAAGTACGGACTGTCTTTAGCTCTGATGACGCAGATAATATAAATGTATTAATATTTAATTAAAATTTAAACCTCACACCTGCTAAATTTTAAGTATACCGACCGCTATTACAAAGGAACTTTCATTTGAGGACCAATCATGATTTTTTTTTCAATTATACATCTTAGTTTCTATTAAATTAAAGAGTTGGAATGTTATTTAGAAAACACTTTAAATTTAGTTTTGTGCACATTTCCAATAAAAATGAATCTTTTTAAATTTTTGTGAAAGAGGGCGTTTTGAAATCCAAAATTTCCCAGGAACTAGCAATTTTTTGTGTTTATCATTTTATTGAAAAAAGCATTTAAGAAAATTGTTGAACACTTGAATAAAATATAACAAAAGTGATTTTTTTTCTTAAGTCTTTGAATTTGAATCATTAAAAAAGATCGATTTTATTCCTCAACTCGAACTTATTTTTTCCTCAAGCAAATTATATAATATAATGAATGTTCAAATATTTGAATAATTACAGGGGTGTGAATAAGAATTATAAATAAAAAGTTTACTTGCATGTTGATAAATTTTCTTTTACAATTAACAAAATATTAACAATGATATAAAAAATGCCCTCTAAATTTGGTCAGTCCGTTCCCTGCCTAGCATATCGCGCTTCATAGTGCACCTTATGAGGCGACCTGTCGTTACGTCACCGCAGGGGGGAGCTTTTCACTGTTTTTGTCAATTGAATGGCTTGGCCTATGTGCCTTTGCTGCACGGCTTTTCATTTAACGCGTGTTTGTATTAATGCCGCGACTGCTGCTGTAACGGCCGCCGCGCGCACCGGCCCCGAATTTCTTCTCATTTCAAATAACAGCCACACTTCTTCTCCGTACTATAATATGCCACTCTATGCATTCGAGTTGACACAGCTGCTTTTTATTTTAACTTTTTCCGAGCTCGCCGCCGCGTGCGGGGTGTGTCGATATTTACGCGTATTGAGAATGATGGCAGATGCACTTTTTTCCTTTGATTCCATCCACCTACAACTTTTATCTCATCTCGGCCCGCGCTGATAAATAACGCCGGTGCGCCCAGCAGGAGGAATAAAAAAAATGTCACTGACTCACGCCGTCGAACAAGACTGATTTTCGGCTCTGGAGAGAGCCACAAGTCTGTATTTGATCTTCGTCAATATTGGCAGGGACTTATAAAAATGATCCCCGTCTGCCGTGGAGAAAAACAAATAAAAGTAGTCTGCATCCAAATTTTTAATTCAATTATAATTTAAATCAATTAAAACTTCTAGCAGAAATTTTGGAGAACTAATTATGTGCAGAGTGATAAAATTTCATTATTTTTATTCAAGTTCAAAGATGTGCTGAGTGTTAAAATTTAATACTTTCATTCACTTTCATCAAAGCTCAAAGTATTGTGTTTACAATAAAGAAAATAATGGCAGAATTTGGACTTTCTATACACACAGAAACAGTAAATAAAGTTATTTTTCTCACCAATCTCGCATAGTCGGGAAGTGGAAAAAATGTACACAGACTTTGAGGCCAAATATTTTTGAATTTAATTTTAAAACTACTACTTATAACCAGTAGTTTAAAGGCAACGCAAATATAACATAATTATGTTTATAAAGAAGAGACAACAAAACTCGTTGTTGCTCCTTGGTCTGGCCATCGAGAGAATATTCTCAGAATTAGTCCAGAATTAGTCTCAATGGAGTAGAGTTAATTTCTAATTTCTTCATCATGGAAGTTTTTGACTCTCAGTGGAAATTTTGCAACAAAATTTTGTCGGTACGTAGTATTAGAGATCATATAATACAAAAATTATTGAAAACTGCACTTTTTATGCGATAATTAATTAATTATGTACAATTTTTTTTTAAGGAAAAAAATTACCCTTCAATGTATTGTCATAAAAAAGTTTAATTTTTTTTCTAAAAGTTTCGTAGGTAATTTTTTTGTATTGGTTTTTAATGAAAAAAAATAAATAACAATATTTTTTGATGAATTTTAGCCTCTCAGTAAAAAGGTAGCAATCAGTAACTCTTAAGTCTATAACAAAATAACAATTTTTCAATAAAAAATTAATTTTATAGTTGTTATCGGCCGACAATGAGGGCAATTTGATTGTCTCTCCGCAAAGTGCCTATTTCGCTCTTATCCTCACTCTGGCTGGCGCAAGAGGCGAAACAGAAAATGAAATTTTAAACGTCCTGGCGGCTGCTCTAGATGATTGCGATACCAAGACGCTCTTGAATTGGGCGAATTGGATTTTGGATAAAATGCAGGTTAGCAATTTATTATTTAACACTTTTCCTTGCATTTCCACTGAAAGTCTGTCAAGGGCATCACCATGGACATTGCAAACAAAATTTACATCCATGAGGATTTGCAAACAGACACAAGTACGCTGGACGAATATTTCAAATCGCAAATTGAAAAGATCGACTTTACAAATAAGGAAGCCTGTGACCAAATCAACTCTTGGGTTTCAGAAGCAACTAATGGTAAAATTAAGTCAATACTCGATGGTAAGGATATTTATTTTTTACCTTTTGTAAAATTTTAATTTTTTATATTAAATAGGCGAGCTCCCTGATAAAACGAAAATGATGATTTTGAATGCAGTGTACTTCAGGGGACTCTGGGCAAACCCTTTCGACAAGAATG